AGATGTACGAAAGTTTATTTGTGACCGACTGATACACTTTCTATAGCATGTAAAGAAAGATGTTGTACTTGTTTTAAATTAAAAATTAATAAAAAAAAAAATTATTGATTGACACTTCCACAATTACTTGAAACAGCAGATTAAAGAGTTATGAAACAGTTGTGAATGTGGAGGAACGCACATGAAAGTCTAAGAAGAAAATTTTAAAATAACTATGTTGTTTCAATAGTCACACATACTTTACCTACTTGCACTTTAAAATCATATTTAAAAAATAAGGAAAATAAAATTAATTTCACCCATTTTAAATGCACCATTCCAAGTTGCCAATGGGAATTGTTGCACAATAATATATAAGCAATTAGCCACTGATTATATTTTTACCTTGAAAAAGTATTGTCAAGTTATTTGTTTCACCAGTAGGATTCCTGAACTTAACGTTTTTGTCTGTCCACCAAGCAATGCCTTTTCTCAGCAGAGAAATATCCATGGGCTTAGAGGTATTGTGATCATAATGAACAAGCTTTAATGTATCTAAAAAGAAAAATAATAATTACAATATAATCAAGTGTCTAGGTTTTAGTAATAATTTATATAGTTCGGTTTTATACAAAAGTTAAGTACATTGGTTCTGAAATGAAATGGTGATGTATTTCCAAGTGATTCTGCAAACCTGGTCCTAAGGCATGTTTTGGCAATCAAAATGAATGATCAAAGTACAGAATGTATAGAAATGTAAAAAACTAGTGATCTGTTTTTTTCCTTCTCAGTGACACAAGTTTTAAAAGTATCTGAAATAAATATGAACTTCAAGTTCATTCAAAGGGAAGTATGATCTTGCATGATTTCTTGGAACAACTTTGAAAGAACTACTGAGGAAGTAGGCAGGTCTTCTGGAAAGTGACTTGTGGTTGGACCTATACAATAATACTGGCTCCACTGAAGGAGGGGGTGATTCCATCAGCCTTCACTTTAGTAAAATTAGCATGCTAGTCATGTTATAAGAATGGATTTATCTTATACCAAGTCTGGCTAATGGCCTGTCTAACTTAATATTCTCTGAACTGAATTCAGTTGATGTAGAGAGGAACTATATGGATTTCATGAATATTCTTTGTTTTATTTAAACAGAACACAATTTGGAAGTATAATGTTGTGTCATAATATACTTTTAAAAATATCGTACCATTGAACATGCTGTTGGCAATAGCTCCACAAGGAGCAATAGGTTTATTCTCACTCGTATGGTAAGGTTCACACTCCTTACTAGGTTTCTAAGTGATTTAAAAAAAGAAAGTCAATTTTGTTATCATAAAAATAAAGCTGCTCAGTATAATCATCACATTAAATCTAAATTGCAAAAATAATTCTTGTAACATGTTTTCATGTTAAAATATTTGTCATTAAATCTACATCTTGCCACTGATCAATGGGGTAATATTTATTTGCATTAAAATAATTTCTTATGGTAAGCTTGGGCTAGAGCTTCCAAAGCTCTATTTCAAACCATGTTCAAATTTATACCGTCTTCACTTCAGCAAGGCTTCTTCCTATTATTGCACTCTTCTGTACATACCCCAAACCTTCTCTTGAAGATATAGACCTATTCACAATTCATTATTCTGTTTACTGTAATGCACAACCTACTTAGATATATAACTAGAGTAGGATTATTAGGTAGAAAAGCAAGTAAAAATTCAATAAATATTTAGAACAAAAGAAGGAAGATATATGAGAATACAACGTAGTGATCTCTAATACACAGAGATACATTCACAAAAATAACCATATTTAAAAATATATTTTTGGAAAATGGTCCTGAAAACATGCACAAAGAATTTTACTTACATGTAAAGAATTGTTATTTCCATTTAGCTGACTATCATCTCGAGACTTTACATAGCGACGGTGGTTTTGGTAAAAGTTGGATAATCCATAGTACATAAACACATTGCCCTAAAAAATTAAGATAGGATGTTTCATTGACTATAACATTCATGTAGTTAGATACAGCAGTAGTTTCACTAGGTCTTCAGAATTCATGCCTTATATATTCATCTTTGTAGGATTTTTAAGTCTGTTCTCAAACTTAAAATTCTTGCTTTGGTGGTAACAGGAGATCACTAAGCTGTAGCTGTACGATACTCTAACGTGTATCCATCAGGGCAAGATGGATAGTTTAATATAAAAGCAGGATTCTTCGGTAAGGTTTTTCTGGCACCTTCTACACTGGGCACTACCCATAGAAATACAGGAATAAGAAAAAATAATAAAGCTGTACTATTTTCAAGAGTATCTAAGTTCCATTGATGCTAAATGTTATGGCTGTGCAAATCCTTTGAAAGAGATGTTTTTAATATAAACAAACACAAAATATTTCTGATTGTTAAAGCAGTTTCCTTTTTTACAAGGCCCACCTACTTCTGGCTACCTCTGCAAATGTGCATGCAGAAAACCCCCATTCTGCTTTGCAATAAAAAAAGCAAAGCAACAGTGAAAAGCACATGCATTTAACATTACTCTAGACCTAATTTTTATTACAATAACTTAATAAATCAGAATAGTTCATGTAGGTTCAGTGGATAAAGTTTTCTCGAAGAAGAAGAAAGTTAACCATTGTAAAAAACAACTTTCCTTTTTAGGTTCAATTAAAATGTCACAAATTTACCATTCCTACTCATTTTAGCTTCAATTTATTTTATCAATTTATGCTGCTTGTGTACTGCCCGTTCCCCTATGCTTTAGGTTTATTATGAAGGCACTCCACTTTAGAGCTATACAAGAACAGAAGGATCATTTTCCTTCAACCATATATTTAGAGCAGTTTCTCAACCTTGGCCATTTGAAGATGTCCGGACTTCAACTCCCAGAATTCCCCAGCCAGCATTTGCTGGCTGGG